AGTCCACGAGAAAATCGGTGACTTACTTTCAGCGATTACATCCCCTATCAATTTGTCTCTCCCTGTATTTTTGCTCCCCAAGAACAAAATTTATAAACGTCTATTCGAAATGACTTTCTTTAAATTGAAAAAATCAAAAAAAGTTCCTTCTGAAGTTTCTGCAATCTGTCTAAACATGCCATATCTGTAAAATAAAAACCAATTGATTTTTTTTGATTTCAATAAAAAATTTCTTTCTATTCTTCTCTCATTGTGGTATATTAAAATTTGTTATTATTTTTTTCTTTTGATGCCGATTACTTAGATCAATTATTTTCAACTTGAAATGAAAAAACGAACGAAAACGAATTGTTGACACAACATAAAATAAAATAAACGCCATAAGGTATTTACCTTCGAGCTTCAATATGTCAAATGCATATAAATACAAATCTTATTTTATTATGGCAATTCAGCAAAACCTTAAAAATACCGTAGTCTACTTGCGATCGAAATTAAAAAAAAAAAGCGTAACAAAACAACACAAAAACAGTTGGCAAACAAATTGTCATAAATTTAATGTAGTCATGTTGCCTTTACCCCAAAACAAATAAAGAAAAAAGTAAAATAAACCCAGATTAGGGTAAGCAGTATTACAAAAACAAACACACATACACACACCAAAATAAAAAACCAATAGAAAAATATTAGTAATTTTATTATTGTTATATACATATTTGTACTCCCTTAGCATTGTCAAATAATATACAAACATACATATAATCGAATTATTTATTGCTATAAACCAAAAAAAAATCATATATGCAACTTTAGGTATTAAATTTAATGTAGTAGCCAAAAAAACACACACACCGCCACAAAAACAAATCTAATATAAAATTCATTTAGAAGTTACAATTTACCAAAATAAAAAAAACAACCTTAGAAAACACACAAACAAAAACATATAACAAATTTTGTAATAAATGTATGTAAATTGTATTAATTTCTTTCATAATCACCCACAAATACAACGACACACACTCGTTCACATGTATATGTAATTTTTTCGTACAGAAACCACATTTATAGAATTTTAAAATAGAGTTTTATGGCAAAAAAAAAAGAGAAACAAAACGCTATAAAACTTGGCGTCACAAATCACAATTTAATAGAATTTATTTTTTGTATTTTTTCTCATTTTCCTTATTTGAATATTTATAAACAAAGTTACCACAATAATTGTTTGTGTGTGTGTTCGACGGCGAGTACGAGCCACTAAATATAATTTTATTATTTCTGTTTTATCGCTTTCATTTTGCACAATAAGATTTAAAAAAAAATATTTCATTTTTACAATAAATTTTCTTTCACCTATTAACCCCTTCTGAAGTCTTATATATGAATATTGGTAATTCAAAAACTGATCCATCGCCTTTTCTCCTATCTTAGGAAAATTGCTTTTAAAGAAAATGATTTTTGAATAATCCAATATTCTTTTGTAATATTTATATACTTTGCCAATGTCTTTGTAAAAACTCTGAAAATAAATTCCTTAAAGGCTGAGCAAAAAACATTCCACACAAGAAAATACCATATTTGTATGGACACTACAAAATTTTTCAATCTAAGGAATTTAGGCAAATATTGCAGTTATTACTATTGTTATGCTTTGTCTCGTTAAAAATCAAAGATTAAAGAAAAGAATCTCTGCCAGTCAATAGACAAAATACAAAAAGGCAAGCCTTTGTTTTCTTTTTATGGAAAATAAAGTATTTAAGATTTTCCATTTTAATAAGAAAAAAATTTGTTTTAGAAAGTATTTATGATTTCATGAAATACCAAGAAAAGGTGTAAAAAAAGAAAATAGGAAATGCTGATATTTTAACCAGTGATCCACAATTTTCTTTTCTGCGTACGTTGACGGTACAGAACAAAACAAAAGGTATCAAATTTCAAGGTTAGCATATAGTTATTTTTTAGAACCAATTTTTTTTTAAATATAAACAACTATGTATTAAAAATGTTTAGTAACCTTGTTTTATATCCACTGAAAGCTCTGGATATCAAACTATTGCAAATTCAGTGGGAAATTAAAGTCAACTTATCAAATACTGCGCAAAAATGTTTTATTCTTAATAGCGGTTGTAGGTTCCATGTCTATTTGCGAGAAACCTGTTCAGAACATTTATGCTTTGTAAAAATGCATGGCATAGAAATTGAGTGTTTTTGGAGTCGGCTGGTTACTGGTTAGATTTTCTGATTGCAAAAATCTTAACCTAGAAGAGGCTATAGTAATTTTATTAGAAAATCGCGAAAGACATCGGCTTCCACGCCATTTTCCATTTAAAAATCTATATTATCTACAAATTGTCTACATTAATTTGCCCAAAGTTCATAGTCTGGCGAGAATGTTAGATTTAAAGAATTACAGCAGCAGTCTATATCCTGAGCCACAATTGCAAGTCCTTAGAGAATTTTAAGTTGCGCGTTTTTCTCCATCTTTTGCCTTTACGACTTCTTACCTAACCTATGTCACCAAACTAGAGCAGCATAGCAGCTTTAAGGTCTCTCTGAGTTGTAAGTTAACAATAAAGCTGAGATTTTCCCCCTCCTCTCCCTAGGTAAAGCATTATCGTTCGTTCTTTTTCTCTCTTTTTGAATGGCCTCTCCCATATATATAAAGCTATGTTTACGGCATTTTTATTCCCTACAACACTATGTGTTGGGGGTATTATAAGTTTGATTGGGGCAAAAATTATCTAACACCTCGAAATATTGATTCCCCACATACACCCCCATACATAGTGTTATGGATCTTCCTATCTCGCCGAGCTAAGTGGATCTAGCTATGTATGTCATTTGTAATCACGCTATAGGTCGCAATTATGGCTCGATCCTAACGAAATTAAAAATAGAGGTGGAGTTAGGGTCAAAATACTGATTTTCACAATTATCATCAATTCGGAATGGCATCTTGCCAGAAAGAAAATCGCGAAAAAATATGACAATAAAAAGTGAATATTTTTTTGTTCAATTTTTTGTCATATTTTATCACAATACAATTTGGAATTGTACATTTTCTAAAGTTCTTCTACACCTGGCAACACTATTTGTTAAGGGTATTTTATACAGGTCGCAATTATAATCCGATCCTCACGAAGTTTTGCATTGGGGATCAGAATTAAAGCCCATTTTGCCTTTTTTGTCATTTTTTTTTTGTATAAAATAAAAGCAAATATATACTTGACTAATAAAAATTCGTATTCATTTTGAAAACCACTTCAGAAACGTTTTACTCTTTCCTGAAATCCCTTCTACCAATATTATTCACTTTTTACACATTTTCAGAATATCTTCCAATGCACTGCAAAAAACACTCCAATCAATATTGTCTACAAAAACATTACACAAGTGTAATTTTTCTTATAAGATTTTAATTTATCTCAAAACAAGTAGTAGCTAAAAAATTGAATATCTCAAAGGTTGTAGACAGACGAATGAAATTCTGTGGCGCCATAAGTGTCAAAATAAAATGAAAATTGCATTGTTGGGTAACTTTCTGCTCAACTCCCTTCCTGCTCTCCAACCACATTGTTATGGTGTAAGTAAATTGGAGAGCAAACGTCAGGTGTGTGCCGAACATAACTTGCAATTTGAAAGTAGATTTTTCAATATCGAATTTGCCATTACGGCAACGATGTGCGGAGATTACTTAATATTGTTTGCAATGTTGAAATGAATTTATTCTGAATTAATCTTTTGTTTGGAATATATTAAAAAGCATTCAAATGAAAATATTTAAATTCTCAAAAAAAAAGTCTTCTTTATTTTCTTAAACATTAATCATTGGCAGTTTCCTTTGTTTCCTCCAACTGTCATTGCAACCATTTATTTTCGTTCATTTCCAATGCAATATTCTTATCCTGAAATCTGTCATTGAAATTTTCAATTTACTTTAAATCAAAAACTGTAATTGTTTTTGAATTACCAATATAGTTTGTTGAAAAAACGTATAAAAATATTAATTACATTTGCCGGGTGATTTGGTGAGGGTGTGTGAAACTGAAGGAAAAGTCTATTTTATTTAAAAATAAATTTCATTTTTTTCATTCTGCCCCAGGAAAAAGGAAACCTTGATTCTTAATTTTCATCTTTTGTTTTCCTGTCCATTTGTGTTTTCCATAATCAATCACCTAGTGCTATTATTCTTTGGACATTTTCTGTTGCACTTTTTCATTGTTGTTTTGCTCGAAAATAAAGACGGTTCTGAATTTAGCATTACATCGTCTTTTTGCTCTAAAATGGAGAAAGAGAGATAACAGCTCTGAGTAAAACTAATAGTGACCAACAAGAAGCAAAGAAACAACATTAATTACAATTATAGCAACAGCAACACTCCTTTGGCACCCACACTCATATATTGCTCCCTCTCCCATTTTTCTTTTATAACTCACATCGCCACACTCTCTCACTCATACACAGATACTTAACTTTACTTTGAAATGCTATGGCATTATAGTTAACTTGTATGCTCTCTTTAGTTCTGTTTCTTTTTTTCTTTTTTTTTTTTGTTTTCATTTAGCTTTTAATATAGTTGTTTGTCCATTTAGCATGCAAAGCGTTTGAATGCCATCAATGTATGTGTATGCGTGTGTGCCTGTGAATGTCTGCCATAGAACACGAAGAACCTAAAACGCGTGTCTGTATGAGCCAATATTATTCAATTAGAAAAGTCTTTGATTAATAGTTCGAGTTTGATTCATTCTCTTTTCTACTTCTACTTCTTATTCTCCTTCTTCCTATGTTTTTAATGAATTTAGTGTCATTTTATATTTAACTAACTGTAAATCAAGATGTTTATCTGTGTTATATTAAATTTTAATATATGAATTTTGTTTTCGTCTTTTTTTCATTCTCCTCCCACTTTTTTCCCATGATTTCTTCTTCCTCGCCTTGATGGTCGTCGTTGGAATGGACACCATGGCCGTTCGCTCGCCTGGACTTTTAATCAATTTTAGTGGATTTGAGTAATGGTCAGCTAACGCCAAACAATAATACACCGTTACTTACTCAAGCTTTATCGGGTAAGTGGTAGCGAGTTAAGAACAAAACAAATAAATGGCAAAATGGAAAATGTTAATGAGCTGGCTAAAGTGGAAGCCAATGTAAATAGGATTAATTTTTTTCGCAACAACAACAATAACTACAGAAATTAAATGAAATTTCTAGAGGTATTTTATTTGCTACAGGAGTGGGGTGTCTAGATGACGGGTAGACAAACCCAGTCAACAAATATGGAGACTATTATTTTTTATGAAAATGAATGATTAATAGAACATAAGGTAACAATTTTAAAATAATAAGGTTCCTGCTTTCCCGCGAGTACAGTACCTTCAACATTTTGCTCAAATTTTCAAGAATAATTATATATAACTGAAGAAAATACAAGTAAAAAATCAGCTAAGTTCAGCCGGGCCGAACTTTTAGTACCCTCCTCCATTTGGAAGGAACTTGAAATTTTTCAAAAAAAAAAAAAACCGAAAGCTACCTCTTAAATGAAAACCGCTATATGAGGACAGTACGAAGATGTGGACCTGCTTACGAAATTTTATGGTAATGGTAAAGGGTATAAAAAAATTGTACGATTTTTGGTCTCCTCAAAAATAAGATTTCGGTAATGCTCTAACGTCTGAAAAGGATGCAAAATCCCCAAATCGATCGTAAAAAAGTCGATTGGCAGAAGGATTAAGACCGGAGAAGGATTAAGAGCTGTCAGAGCTCCTCCATAGGGCTTCACTGGTAGCCGGTCTCCTCATGACACCAGGAGACCATCTACATGAGGATACCTTAAGGGTAATAGCATACTTTTATCGAAGCACCTGACTAGGAGTTACCAAACTATTACAGGGTGAGATGAAAAAACTGCAACTAATTTCAGACTGCTGTCATTTCTAAGCCACTCGTCCGACAGCTGTTAAAATTTTTCCAGTGACAATTTACTATATTGTTTACAAACGTACAAAAGCTTTTTGGTGAGAATTTTCCAGAAAAAAAATTATTCATGATTGAATTCAAGCGTGATAGTGTGATTTCTTTATATTTGGCTGGAAAACCACAAGTGGCTATCGTTAGGGCACTCCAGCATTTAAATGTGAACAAATCATTTGTGTCTCGTACCATCGCTCGTTACCGTGATACTGGTAGCGTAGCCCGACATCAAGGAAGTGGACGGAAGAAAACAGCATCGACAGCAGAAATGGTTCAAAAAGTAAAGAAGCGACTTGATCGAAATGGCCGAACAATGGCTCGTGAGCTGAACATATCGCAATATATTATTCGGCAAATATTGAAAAGTGAGCTCGGAAAATTCCAAAAAGTGCATGAACTTACACCCCAACAGAAAAAAATAGGATCAAAAATGCTAAAGAGTTGCTTTGCTTGGTCGATAGTGGTGAACTTCCGAATTTGGTTTTCTCCGATGAGAAAACATTCGTTGTCCAGCAGTTTGTAAACAAATAAAATGATCGTGTTTACTTGCCAAAGAGGTCAGCTGAAAATGTTCACCTTCGGTTGGCCACCAGAAATCTACAACAAGGAAACTAACACCAATTTCCACCTCGGACTTCGAGCTTTATTTCGTTGAACAGCATTCATTTACAAATATTGAAATCTCTACCACAACGAATTCTAGAATCTGTAAAATGTATAAATAGTATTTACACTCCTTTGCATTTTAGTCTGAAAATCAATCGCCCAGTTGTAACAAAAACTTCCCAAAATGTTTTTTTTTTCTTTCAAATTTTTTTGCGAAAAAAATCTACATTTTGCCATTTTTTCAACAATTTACCAAACAATTGATTTGCATCCATGCCTCATTTACTTATTTCTCGTTCTTTCTTTCTCTCTCTTTCCATGACTTTTTGTGATAATTTGCAATTTTCAATTTAGTAATGAACAATTATCAGGCCGCCGCTGCAGCTGCTCATAGTTTTGCCGCCCCCTCGGCATCGCCACACACCACTACAACACGACAGGGGTTTCCCTCCACCAATTCTCCGGTGCCCGCCATTGATATGTACAGTTCAACGGCCGCCGATAATGTTGGCTATGTACAGGCCACCAGTCCCCAGCCATCAGGGTTCCCCATAGCCGTGAGTCGAGCTCCCCTCAACTATAGTCCGGTAAGTATGGCAGTTTGTTCGACACTCGACGGTCGACGGACGGCTTGCTTTGAAACAAACTCATTCAGCCAATCACAATTACTTCACAACACTGTATTGTTTTGCACTTTTATTGAGAATAGGCAATAGCAGCAAAAACAACAACAACAACAGCAAAAAATTAAATGAAAAAACGTCAGCTCTTTTTTGTTTGTGTTTATAAACTACCTTTAATTGGAATCTTATTATTAGTCATCTCCAATGTCAATTTGTAAAAAAACAAAAACAAATCGGTTAACGGTTCCCAGTAAATAATTTTGAATTCAATGAATGATGTTTTTTTTTTTTTTTGGATTATGTAAATTAAATTGCACTCTATTATTCGTTGGAATTAGTCTTCTTCTTTTATTTTTTTTAATACCGGATGTCTCTATTCTCTCGCACCTCTTACGTTTGTTTGTTTGTCTTCAATTTTTGTCTTGTCTAATTAAAAAACAACAGAAAGTAGTTGTCAATCTTACGAAATTATAATTCTGTTTATTTGTATTTTTCTCTCTTTCTCCCGTTTCTCGTTTACTCGTTTAGATCTATTCGTTGAACTTTGCGATGGCTAATATATAAGACTGAAATCCTAAAGCAGTTGCACAAGGTAGGACATCGTCAAACTATCAACAATTATTATTTTTTTAGTTTTTTTTATTCATGCACACGCACACATGCATTATATTAGCACCATAAATATTCGCTATATTTTTAAATGCATATATATATTTATGTTATTTTAAAGTAAATATTTTTAATTGTTTTGAGAAAAAAAGGAATAAAAATTGAAGGAGAACGTCAGCAATTAAATCAGTTTCTAAAAGGCTTTTTAGCGACAGCATTTCAGAAGTCATATATAGTAAGATTAACACAAATAATTGAGTTATTAGGGAATGGCTCCATCAGAGCAAGGCAACTGTTTTTCAATAATTTCCTTTCACTCCCAAAAATTTACTTTTTATTCAATTCTCTGCATTGGACAACCATAGAACTTTATTTTTTAATCAAATAATTGTTAATATGTTAAATATATTTAAATTCAATGAGATATGAAAAACAAATTTAATAAAAAAAAATCCAAAACAAATTGTATATCTTATGAAATAAATACTCATTTCCCAATGTGCCGTATACGCAATATTGTTGAATAGATAATATGAATTATACGCTCCGTTGATCTCTAAGGTATTTAAACAATATTCATAGGCATATGCGTATGTATGTATAAATACGTAGGCAAACGCAATAACATATCAACTCACACACACACGCATGCATGCATTTATATTTTTTTTTAAACTAATAGAACTGGGACTTTGAGATTTAATGGTTAGTGGCAATTAACGATATTCCCCCAAACGCCACAAAACGCCAATCCCATGTGTGATACGCAATGTCAAATTTACTCTCCACTAACGTCGGAGGTTATATAATTTTGCACGTCGTTGAGAAAAAAAATAAACATCTAGGTCCATATTATAATAGTGAGAGTTACTCTCCATTTTCAAAGTGGTCCCTTTTTGAAATTTTCTCTTCGACTGGAATAAGCTTTGTCGCAGGGTATCCATAATCCCCCAATAAACCTAATGAAAAGAAAAGAGTAGAGTTCTTCTTTAAGTTGTTTCATAATACCCCAGCCCTATGGGATACGGTTAAAACGTACCTCATCGAAATAATGGTTTTAGACCATGGGTCCCTTTGGGCCAGATCCGTTTCAGGACATTTGGAGTCGATCTAGCGATGTCCGTCCGTCCGTCTATCTGGCTGCGCATGGTAACTCTTGAAGGGAGAATGCGATTTGATCCAAACGTGGTACATCGTAATATTATTATCAAACTTAGACCATAAGAAGCTCATAAGACGCGAAATTAACATCCGATTCCAATCTCAATATTTCCATCAAAACAAGGTATGTTATAAAGTTGGTAGAGATTGGAAAATTCCTCCGGGTACCTCCCCCACAAAGGGTCAAAGTTTTGAATAACGATTATAAAATCAAAAATAAGCATCCGGTTCTCTTCATATTTCACACATTCCATTATTTCTGAAGAAGATCTGTTGTGAAGATCTCTGCGAACCCCTTCTGGAAGCGCACCCACAAAAAAGGTCACAATTTTTCAATACTTTTATCTGTCATAACTTACGAAAAAAGTCAGCGATTCTTTAAAAATTGCTCTGTCTAAATATTTCTCTCAACCAGAAACCTGAGATGAATATGGAATTTAGGAATTCTCAAAAATTGGATATCAATTTTCCATTTTCGTGTAATTTTGTCAATACCAATATTTATAATCTTCACCACAGGGTGGACAGGGTATTATGTCTTTGTGCATTTGTTTGTAACAGGCAAAAGAAACGAGATAGACCCATAGTTTCTTTTGATGATCTGCATAGAATCACATTCATAATCGATTTATGCATGTCCGTCGGTGTCTGTCTCTAAAGGTCGATCTACATGAAATTTTGCACAAATCATTTGTTTGACCCAATTGGAGATAATCGGCCGAAATTTAGATATATCTCCCATATATATCTTCGTCCGATTTTCTTTTTATTGTGCACCAAACGTGTAATATTAGCCCATATTTTGCACAAACGACCATATAAGGCCTGAAAATAATCATGGCAAATTTGATCGAAATCGGTTAAGATATAGCTATAGCTTCCATATATATTGTTCATCCGATTTGTTATTTTTGTCCTCCACAGCCGTAATATGCACTCTGTAGTAACGATATTTGGGAAATATATCAAATACAGCTCAGAAATACCTTTACCAAAATTTATCGAGATCGGTTTAGATTTGGATATAACACCAATATATATCTTCGTCCGGAATACTCTTGTCGACTATATCTGGTACCTCATGCATATTTGGTTGTAGACGGCTTAAAGATAATCGGGATCCCTTTCGAATGGACGTCGAATACGGGGATTATGATGATGATCTTAGATTTGCTGACGATTGAAAAATAGTCCGCTACTCAGTTGAATGGTCTTCGGTGATCACTTTGTTCAAGTTACTGTGATAAGTGGTGTAATTATTGCGTATGTTTTCTTATAGGCTTCATGTGGGGACATATTTGCCTCATACAGTACATATTTTTATCAGCCGTAAAATCTGCGTTGTGATAGGTAACTCCATCAGTCTGTCCTTTTCACTCTCTCCCTCTCTTCACTGTTCAGTATAATATCTGATATTTGGTAATGGTGAGTCCATCACTGACCTTTAGAATCTACATTTGATTTCATTTTGGAATCCTTGTAAAACGTGTTATATAACAGGACTACTACAAGTTGCTGCCAAAGTTTTTAGTTCCTGATCCAGATCCGTTATATTATTTGCCTACATTAAAAAAAGGTCAAACTTTATTAATCTCCATATTTATTAAAGCAATACGATTTAAACACACTTTTAATAAAAAATAAATCATATTTAAGTTTTTTTTTTTTTTTTGCTATTACTCAATTTAAATATTATTATTTTTTCCTAATATTTGAAATGTATTTTATGCAAATCCCTTATCTTATTATTAGCATAAAATTATACATAATGTGCGATCTGAGTTGTTAGTATGTAGCAGGGCTCCACGGCCGGCATTGGCCAAGGCTGCTGCTATTTAATGGATTTTGAACAAATCACAGAACCACAGTTTGTATTACAAACACAAATAGAAGAGAAGAGAGAGAGAGAGCGAGCGAAAAAAACGAAAGCAAATTTCTATATCGAACATTACTGAACATGTTTTGTTGATACTCGCAAATGTATGCAAATTAATATAATTTTTGATAAAAGCTATATTTTATAAAGCCATGCAATCACTTTATAATTCAATTAAATTGCTCCATGCCAAACGACAGCAACAGCAATGGGCCACCACCGGCGCCCAACCAATCATAGGTTGTTGTTTTTGTTTTGTTTCTTTTTTTGTACATTTAACCGCAAATTGCAGATATTTAATAGAACAATTACACTGTCAATGACAATAACAAGGACATTTTAGAAGGATTCATGGGAATTCATGTGGGTCACTTCAATTTCATTAATTTTAAATTCGATTGCATTTGTTTTGTTGTTGTGACTACTAAATAAACAATATATGTCCCAGAAAATCAGAGATATAGCCACATAAAATTTAAATATTCTTAAAAAATCAAAGAATTGGTTATTACCGAGATCAAATGTTATTTTAAATTAGTCCCAGAGGTGGAAAAAATAAGAAGATCTCTCTTACTGCGTTTTCCGCCTCTCATCTTGAAGTATCTTTCAATTTCGGAATTATGTGATCCCCCCTTTAATTTTATTTTATTTCTAGACGAAGACTAGAAACACTTTTGGTTGCCCTTCCACGTGTTTTTTAATAAATATATTTTTTGTTAGACTTTTACCAATTATTAGATTTAGATTTCAAACCCATCACTCTGAGAGCATAGAAATAAAATAAAAAACCCACACTCTTACTCTTAATTGATTTCCATTTTTTTAATCCCAAAATCTAAATTAAATTCTTAAAATTATATACTAGAAAATACCAATTCACACTAAACCCAACTGATTAAACGTTTATGGGATAATTGAGGGTATATGTGAATGTGTGTGTGTGTGTGTGTGTGTGTTGATGGGTGGCGGGTGGTTTTGGATTGATGGGTTACCATTATGTTCAAGTATGTGTAATAACAAATCATATTATCATTATCATTAAACCAATCAAATATTTTAACATAGCTTTCTATGCCTGAAAGTATGTGCATATAATTATATATACACACATGTGTGTATGTGTAAACCATTTAATTATTTAATGGCGTTAATATGTTATTACAGAGAATGATTAACGTATGTATATCAAATTGCTTGCTAAACTAGTTGGTTTAATAAGCACTACTAAATTGTCTAGGATAAAATTACATTATGATTAAATTTTGGGAAGTAAGAACTTAAATAGATTTTTTTTTTAACCATTTCAGTTATATTTAACTGTAACAATTTGTGTAGGTGAATACAAATCTATACAGTGTGTTTAGAATCGTAAAATGGTTTCAGAAAGAACCAAAAATTCTCGTCAGCACCCATGGCTTTTGTTTGGGGATATTCTGCCCTGAGTTACAAAAAAAAAACCCCTGTGACAAAATTCAACATTCTGCTGAGCCAATTTTAAAAAAGGGTGCAAAATTAAAATAATCAGTTGAAAATGAGGCGAACATTTTTATGCCCTCCACCATACATAGTACAGTCAATACAAATTAAGATAGGAAGCTCAAATTTTGCACAGATATCTCTTTTGCCTGCAGGCAGGTCAAGTTCGAAGATGGGCTATATCGGACCACGATTTTGATGATTTTAGCCAAATTTTTTAACGGAATTGTCTGAAATTCTACACAAGGGGTTCTTTGTGAAGTGCTCACAGAGAATTACCTATATAGGTCCACGATATCGAAAATCCCCCATATAACGGTACCCCTTGATATTCGGTATTTGATGATTTTAGCCTCATTTTTCAATGGAATTGTCTGAAAATCCACACAAGGAGTTTCCTGTGAGTACTTTATCCCCTGGAAGATAATTATCTATATAGATCCACGATATCGTATAGCCTCCATATAACGGTACCCCCGTACTCGGTATTATGATGATTTTAGCCACATTTTTCAACGGAGTTGTCTGAAATTCTACACAAGGATTTCTTTGTGAGTACTTTACCCCCAGACATAGATTTGTCTATATAGGCCTACAATATCGTATATGCCCCCATATATCGGCACCTTCCTTAAAGATTTTAACAGAATTTTAAATGGATTTTATTTTTGAAAATTTCCTAAATCGTTCCAAATGGTGGAGGGTATTCAGAGTTCGGCTCGACCGAACTTAATGTTTATTTACTTGTTAAAATCGCCGAATATCAGGTTTTACCGATATAGGTTTATTAGAAAACGCAGATCTATATGACTAATTATTTACCAGCGAGGGCGGTACCTAATAAGAACAATAAATACCAAGTTTGAGATAATTCTATCAAAAAATATATAGATAAAATCCAAAGATGTATGTAGAAATTTTCTGTGATATGAAATAGTACCCAGTTAAAACTCCAAATACCAAATTTTAAATAATTCCGGTGAAAAGTGTATCACTTATCATCAGAATATCTGGAGGTCCAGTTATATGGGGCCTATGGAAACTGTTATCTGCAAGGATGTTTCCTACTTACTGGAAACACAAACTGCCAATTCCACAGACGTTAAAAGTAATCTCAACCAAATTTGTTCAACCTACTTAATTTCGTTCGGAATCTGAAGTGATTTCCAGAGACAGAGAGACATACATGGCCAAATCAACATTTGGGGGATCAAAAATTCTTACTTCGAAGAAAGACAAACTTAATATACCCGCCTTAGTACGGTGAAGAATATAAAATGAAAAATTGTATGTTTATGCCCTACGTCACCCTGTACCTCAGAGTCTTTGTGCATTTGTTGGCAAAATGTAGAAGGATACGAAAAATAATATTTTTTTGGAATGTTTTGATTTACTTATGTATCGCAGATTTTCATACCCGTACCCTGCCTTAGACCCGGACAAATATCTGAGCATCCGGGCCCGTCTCGCAAGAAAAAAATATTTTCTCGGGATCAGGATGCAAATATATAAAAGATAAATAAAAAAATCCAAAGTTTTTACTAATCTAATTTTAAATAGACTTTCAAAAAATTCTCAAAATTATTTTATGTAGCCCATCCAAAAATCCATCACCCAGAAAATCAATAAATATATAACCTATAAATGAGTGTTTATGTTAAAATATAAATATTTAATTATTTCCATAACTATAATAAATATTATGTGGTGATTCCACGTAATGTCCTAATTATATATTAATTTTTGTTGGTGGTTTCAAAAAATAAAAAAAATATATATATACACATGCTTTATTTTTTATTTATCTCTTCAATGGTGCGATATTAAAAGTTGGTGTTTTTGTTTTCTTGGTTTCCGTTTTTTTGCAGGGACCACTAATTCCTGCGGCATTTACAAATGGTTACCATTAAGTGGAGGCATCGACCGCAACAAATAAAAATAAAACATTAAATTTCTGTTAAACAGCAACAATGACATGACCATGGCTAGCTACAACAGCAGCAGCAGCAGAAACAACAACAGCAACTACTACGAGCCAATTGAACATGTAGAAGAAGAAGAGGAAGAATAACAACAACATCTGTTACAAAATGTTGCAACAATTTATAACAAAAACAAAAAAAAAACCAAACCAATTACACCAAATACATATTTACATCAACTCTTACTATATATATATGAACAGAAAAAAATATATACATAATTATATATATATACAAAACAATCTATATACTAATATATATGAAAAACAAATAATTTGAATTATATACAATAACCCTATCCCAACCCCAAAAAACCAAAACAAAAAAACCCAAACCTCATCTGAATGCAAAAGAACAACAAGAACAAAACTATAAACATGGATAAATGGCATTATATTGTATACAAAGACAGCAGCAGCAACAACAGCAACAAATGATGATTATAAACAAATCGAAAAGGTGAACAAGAACAGCAGTAGCCATATTTACAGCAACAACAAACAAATGTCTACAATTGCAAACAAAAGGAGAGAAGAAAAATTGCAACCACAACAGCAATAACAACTTAAATGGCATCAAGAATTAACAACCACAATGAACGGCAGCGGCAGCAGCACCAGTAACAACAAATAACAATTTCCATTATTAATTAAAACAAGGATAGGCTTTGGACATTTTTGTCCTTAGCCACAAAGCAATGATTATGATGATGGGGCTGGCTGGATGGACTCAAGCAATATAATTAAATGGTGGTTTGTCTGCCAGATGACTGGACAACCCTTTCGATATTTGTTAATAATTGCAAAAAGAAAAACATAAAATTCAAATAAAACAAATTGAGTCTTAATACAAATTGTCTAGTAAAATTATATTACCACAATTGAACAACAACCAAAAAAACATAAATGAAATTTTTAATTAAAACCCCAAATAAAACAGAAAAACAAAAAATTATAACCATAATGAGAAAATTGACAAAACAAAATATTATTAAAATATATTTAATTTTTTTAAATAACAACAATTTGTACTCAAGCGAAATGCATAAGATGATGATTATGAAACAAAACTTCAGTACTCCCAAAAACCATCCTCTCATATAGTCAAAACGAAAGAAATCCCCAAAAAAACAATGCAAAAAAAATCCTTGTTACATATTAAGACAAAATAAAGAAATCACAGGTTAAAGAATCATAATAACAACAACAAGAAGAAGAAAATGAAGAACAACAACAAGTAATTTCATTATTGTACTCGTTATCTGAACACTTTTGAAATATGCAAAACAATACATGTTTCATTGTTTTTTTCTCTCTTTATTGCTCTTTGTGTCTCATTTTCATTTTTTGTTGTTTTCTTTGAAATGTTCTGCGTTTCGTGTGAAATCTTTACAATATACGAAACGACAGAACACGTTTAAACAATAAATAAAATTTCATATAAATTCAATGGAGAAAATCTTGCTATAAATATTGAAAACCAAACAAAAAAAACAACAACATTTCTAAGCGTCATTTGTTATCATTGTTTTTCAATTGGCTTTTTACTCTTTCCATAATTGATTTATTTAATTTTCATTTGGTAATAAATTAAAATTATGGCTCTTTGTGTTCATATGGATGTTTAATGGTGGGGAAGATGAAAGGAAATAATTTTATTTTAGGCAATATTTAAAACAAATCGGCATAAAGGGCGATCAGATTGATCTCACATTACCATGAGAATTATTTACAGCCAAGGAAAATAATTCAATTAAAAAAAAATATTTTTGAATATTTTCTCATCCTTTAAATTTTTCCCCCTTATGCAGTACACTTACTTATTCACAATTTTAATATTCCATTTCTGGTCTTTATAAAGGATGTTATTTAATAACAAATATTTTATATGAAATGCGTGTTTAATTCGACAATTTTGCACACATATTAAACAAACAACTAAGCCATAAACAGATGGCATACATTTTTATACCCTACACCACAAGGTATTATGTCTTTGTACATTTGTTTGTAACATGTGAAAGGAAACGAGATAGACCCACAGTTACTTTTGATGATCTGCATAGAATCACATTCTAAGTCGTTCAATGCATGTCCGTCTGTCCATGTATTTTTGTAAACATTTGTTTGACCACAGGGTTCGTCTCTGGAATTGGAGATAATCGGTCAAAATTTAGATATATCTCCCATATATATCTTCGTCCGATTTACCTTTAATTGTGCACCAAACGTTTAATATCAGCTCAAATAGTATGGAATTTTACACATACGACCAAATTAGACCGGAAAATAAGTATGCCAAATTTGATCGAAATCGTTTCAGATATAGCTATAGCTGCCGTATACATATATTGTTCATCCGATTTGGTTTTTTTGTTCTCCGCAGCCGTAATATGCGCTCTGTAACAACAATATTTGGGGAAGTATATCAAATACAGCTCAGGAATATCTTTACTAAATTTTATCGAGATCGGGTCAGATTTGGACATAGCTCACATATATAACTTCGTCCAAATTGTCTTTTATTGTGCACCAAACGTGAAAAGACACAAATGCCTTGGCAAATTTTGTCTTTTGGACTTTCAAATATAACTATAATCACAGTTGGTATGATTTAATTTTCACAATTTCCCCATAAACAAATTTTGTTTGTTATGTGAAGGGAAGTTCACATTTATAAGTCCTATTTAAAAGGCAAAAGTGATGTTAGAGTCATATGTAAAGTGACTTTTTCAAAATTATTTTTAATAAAATGCGTTTAGAAACTTCGCAGAATTTTTTGTTTAAAAAACAGCGTTTTATAGTATAAATTAATACAAAAATATAATAAAAAAAATGGAATGAAGAAAATACAAATATATTTATAGTGATGCATAGTATCTACTTTATATTATATACCGCTACTTTTAAGTAAAAACAAAATTGCATGCCCCCTAAAGTATGCTTTAAAAAGATAAAATATACAATATGAGAAAGGCACTTCGCATATGACTAACGTAATGTGTAATCGGATCTAAAGAGTATGGGCCTTGCCAAAATTAGGCCCATCTATAAATTATAATATAAGATTATAATATTCAAAAATGTTTAATTTTTAACCTTTTGAAAAAAAAGACAAGTTTCGTCTAAATTGCATGTCTCTAATGTGAAATTAAGAGGTGATTTTGAATAATAGAACTTGTTTTCTATCCTATATGTATTTTCAATTTAAAAATATACAAAAGCCAAAAAATGTCATATGCACACAAAGAGATTTTTTTAATATTTTCTCCATTAAAACAAAACAATTTTTTTATTTTCGCTTTGTAAAATTTGTAACACCACGATTTTGAAGGCTTGAAAAAAACCCCTGTTTTAAATTCAATTCATTTTCTTTAACATGATTTTAGCAAATAGTTAGGGAAATATGTTACTATTTACATATTATATATACATATATATTATATGAAACATAAATAATTAATAAAACACCACACACTGAGACTCACTCTCATACACCCAAGACAAAATATTAAAAAAAAATTAACAAAAAATTATATTCATGAATTTTAGTAATAAGTCCATACACACACATACAAGTATTTATTATAACAAAACAGTTGAAATATACTGACATTATTGCATATACATACACATGTACACAACAATTCAATTCCCCCTTACAAAACTGAATCAAAATCTTTAAGTGCGCTAATTAAAAAAAAGGAAATACAAACATTAACAATACCATCAAAAACAAGGTAATCATTGATTACATACATATATACAAATATTACCATGATTATTTGGTTTATTTACATTGTTCTTTTTTTTTTTTTTGACAAGCAATTTTAGCATTGCATTCTCATACAGCTTACGTTAATGCATCCATTGGCATCTTTGAGTTTTTTTTTTGTTCTGCAAAATAATATCGTGTTACAATAATACCATTAATCAATCAATTAATTTATTATTTATTTGGATATTTAATACCCCAGCTAGGCCAATCTATGTGCAATTTATAGCAAAGAATTAAAACAACAATGAACAAGAAATATTTAAATATTCAAATATCAGAGTGTGTCAAATCAGACGAATAGAAATGACAATTTAAGATCAGTCCAATTCAAAACGTTTACTTGTGGAGAATTTCATCCATTCATTCATTAAAAAAATATTTTCTTTGACTTGAAGTATGCTTTTATATTTAAATATTCAAAATTCCAACACAATCTTTTGACTCATTCTCAGCGAACCAAATGACGGGACGCCCGACACGTCTGATCTGACACGTAGGTCCGAGATCTGAACAATTCGACTGAGGAATTTTTTCCTTTTTATAGAGTTTTTTCTTCTACTTCTTTAGAATTCGGAAAGAGTAATGTTAGAAACTCGCTCAAAAAATCAAAAATCCATCGAACCAAATAATGGACGCCCGACACGTCTGATCTCAGGCGTAGGTCCGAGATCTGAGCAATTTGTCTGAGAGATTTTTTCTTTCTGTAGAGTTTTTTCTTCTACTTCTTCAGAATTCGAAAAGAATAGTGTTAGAACTCGCCCAAAAAATCAGAAATCCAAACGAGTTAGCTCTGAAATTGATCCGACGATTCTATTTTCACTTCTAAATTTCCTATGAACTTCATTCCGAGTTCGGTTCGAAAGTCGGCTAAAACTTCAGATTTTCATCCAAATCTTCGGCCCGAAAAAACGTCACCCACAAAAGACGGACCGAATTCGGAACGAAAACTGTCACGAAGTAGTAATTATACAAAACTCAAAATTATTAAATAAAAATAAAATTTAATCCAAAAAATTAAATTTAAAAAATTAAAATTTAATTTAAAAATTTAAATTATTTAAAAATTCAATTATTCTCCAAAAAATTCAATTCTTTTAGAGAAAAATAGACAATTTTCAATATGCAATACATCCTCAAAATTAATTTTTTGATGAGCCTGCTGAACTCACTTTGAATTCTGAATAAACATGTGCTTTGCTTATTTCAACAATATTTTCTATATTTTAAATTCTAATTTGAAAACTTAATTTTATATCACTGGCATTTCAACAACAACAAAAAACGAAATATTCACAACTTTTTTACGGAGTATTAAACTCATCCTAATGATGGGGTCACCTGACAGTGTCCCGTACTCATGTGACCCATAGACTACCATTGTTTTCGTATTGAACGATTAAAAAAATAACCCACATTACAAAATCTTAACTTGATTCCTGAAATTTTGCCAAATTTTTGTAACAAATAACCGAACAACAACAACACAGCGTTTTACTTCGTTTATTCTCAATATCCTGCTCTCTTTTTTCCAACAACAACAACAAACTCAAATAAGTAATACTAAAGAACCAAATAAATACTAATACAAATATATGCAATATTATTAACAAAAAAAAGTAACAAAGAACTAAACCAACCAACCAACAAAATGTTAATAGTTTGAATAACACCAATTTTTTATAAAGACAAATTCAAGAGATGTTTTAAAAGGATATTTTCAATCAAGCTAGGAAAACAATGGAAAATTTCTGCAAAATGAATTCAAACGAATTAAAAAAAAAATAAAACAAAACATACCACAAACAAACACAACAAAAATCAAATATTATAAACCAAAAAAAAATTACAAATAACAAAATATATATTTAAAAAAAATACAATTTGTAAAAAAAATCAAACAGCTTTAGTTAGTTAAAACCAAAAATAAAAATAAAATAAGATAAATATATAAAAGCTGGGGGAGTACACCCCTGCTCAGATTGAGAAATTGAAAGCTAAAAGAAAGAGCATGGGCAAATGGCCAAAACCAAAATAAAACAAAAAACTGACAGTAGTTAGAAGTTTTCTTAAGCAAACCAAAAAAAAAAAACACACAAAAACAAATGAAAGGATGAGCTATCCTCGGAACAGGACACCAGATCAGAAAAGGATTTAGTTAGTATTATGCATTAGATTGGAAAGATGGAACATGTCCCATAGGAGAAGCAACTGTGTCCTGTCTGTTACTTTAAACCAACCGACAAAAACAACAACAACAACAAATTGCTACAAAAATTAATGTTTTCAGTTAAGG